GGTGTTTTTTTTTTTTTTATAATAATAATAATAATAAAAAAATCCTACCAGTATTATTTTAGTATAGTATATTATGCTTTAATATTTTGAACATATACTACTATCTTTTTAATATTATATTTAAATATAAAATATTATTATTATAATATTATATTTATATATAAAATTTGAAAATTATATTTTCAGTTTTAGAACTCTTAGTACTTCAACTTATTTTATTTTATTTCAGTTAGTTGCCAAGGCAACATTTCTCATTTAAGTTTTTTTATTCTATTTTTTGATCTAGTATTTATATTTTATTTTAACTTCAATTTATAAACAATTTTTAATAGCTTTAATTAACAAAACCAAAAATGTTTTACTGCTCTGACAAAAAATAATCCCAATTTAAATTTTTGTTGTTAGACAAAAAAATAAAAAAATAAAAGTAGTGAAACACTTCTATTTTTTTATTTTTATATTTACAACCATGTATACATATATATATATATATATATAAACAATCGTTGCAACTCCTACATGCTTAGTTTGTTATTTTGTCTTTCCAGGACACGTTGATTATTCAGGAAATATTTAGAGGCAGAAAAATTTGCTGAAAATCATGTTTGTGGTTACATGTGGGAGGAAAAAAAATATGTTGAAGAAAAGATATTTAAACCTACACTATGGAAACCATAAAAAGAGTCTATTTCCTACATTTATTATCTCATCTGTGAGAAATGGGGGAAAATCCTAATGATTTTTCATATTTTCTGCTTTTCCCTCCATTTTTGATTGATACATACTGCATAAAATATGTACAAACAATTTTTTTTTACAGTTTTCTTGTCAATAAATTAGTACCTGGAAGTCAAAATAATTCCCATCAAAGGTGTAGTAGTGGGGGTCGCCCAGTGCCATACAGGTGCTTTGAGAGACGGGATAACAGTCCCTAATGCCATTCTCCACCTGGCAGTGCTGTCCTGTCCCACAGCCTCCACCCTGGCATTCTAGATGTCCACCCTCCGTGGAGCAACGACAAAGCCGCTGACAAGCATCATCCGCCCAGAAAGTCTCACCAGCGGGAATGTAGTGTCCATTGTAGGAACAACCACATTGGGCTGAAGGTACACATTCAGATCCACTCAGAACAAAACCAGGATCACAAGCGCATGTTTCGACACAAGGTAAAGTGCAGTTCACAGGAGACCCGAGGCCCATGCAGGTCAAAGGGCAAGCGCTACCACAAAACTCATAATGGCTGTTCTCTGGGCATCTGTAAGCTGAAGACAGATACAAAGACATTAGGTACAATATCAAGCCAAGTATATGCTTTGCATATGCTTATAAAACTATTACTCACAACAATTGGCTGCTTCTCTCCAGTTGGTTAGCTGTATCCCAACACGTTGACATACACTTGCATAGACCTCTAAAACCTTACATAAGTAGTTTCTGTGCCCATCTGTCATACAGACATCATACATGCAGTTCTGGATGTAAATACTTGGGTCAATAACAGAATGACACTGACTGAATGGTGCCATCATTAAGAGTCCACAGTACTTTTCACCCAGCCACTGTCGAAGTGCTTGAGCATCACATCCAGGGCCCCCATTGTCATCTCTACAGCCCTCATCCAATGTTAAGTTGTGAACTTTCCAACTCTGTCCAAACGTTGTCACACTGGGAGCCTGGGTGTTCGAAGGCATAGTGAAATCATCCTTAGGATCACCATTGAAGTTGCCACAGAGCCCACAGACTTTGTCCATGAAGACAGTGGGCAGGGAGACCATGAGATAGTGGTCCCAGTCATACTGCACACTCAGCCCAAAAGAAAACTGGATGGTGATGAAGCTGCCGGACTGGAACATGGACACCCCAACATCATCAAGAACCACAGGAAGGCTCCACACATTCTGATCAATCTGCAAAAATCAAAACATAATAATGCATATTAAATGGCAAAAAAGCTTCTTACTCAATATTTTTGTCTTGATTTAGTAAAAAAAAAAAACCTATAGATTAAAAAATTCTCTCAAAATATGCTTTGTGTTTTTTTTCCCACCATGAAATAAAAATAAAAACATTTAAATTATTTTTTAAAATTGAATATTGCAGTGCTTATGAGTGTGCAAACAACAGTATTACAACAATCCAATCAATACAACCCTAATTTTTATATTTTTTTCAAATTTTCATTTGAAAAACCGCTTTACTTGGATATACATCAACATAAAGAAGGAAAGATGATTGCAAATTCCATTTCATGCTTTTCTAATAATTAATATTGTATACATTAATTAGGTTTATTTGAAAGTTTAAATAATAATACTTTATATTAACATTGTTATATGTTTTATAATAATACATTTCTTTTTCTTGTTTTAAGCATAAACCTCACTTTTTTGTGATCTATGTTGATCTATGCTATTTCTAATGGGTAAGAAATAAACTTTAAGATATAGTTTCTGAAAATATCTCTTGATCTGTTATGCATTTTTTAATCTTGTGTAAATTGATCGTTAAAAAATTGTTTCGATATTTTTACTAAAAATAAGACAAAAAATACTGATGTTTTATATCAAATGGCTTAATATAAAGCTATTATCTTTCATATTATAACGTATAAGTATTCTCACATGAGATAATGCTTTCAGTATTGCAGCAAGTTTTGAATGAGGTTTCTATAATGTTTAGGACTAAAATGAACTAAATCCATGCAATCACTATTACTTTTTCCTTTTAGAAAAAAAAAAAAAAGGTTTACCCTGACTTTCCCGGGCTCAGAACTTCCAACGCTGATGGTGATATCCCCAATATTCACAGTTACTCGTGCTACATAGGAGACACTAATGTCGCCACGGTTTTCATTTTTAGCCAGGACCTCAAAAGCAGGAAGACTGTTATTTTTGTGGCAGTTCCTGGTGACAACATAAGTGCAAGTGCCCATGAAGTCAAAGTAACGCTGGTCGAATGTGCAGTAGTGAGGGTCGCCCATTGCCCAACAGATTCCAAATGGTTTCTTCACACAGGTGGGGAAGGAACCATTCATCTGGCACTCCTCATCCTCACTACAGATGATGTTGAAGCAAGAGCGAGGTGCTGGCAAATCTACTATAAATGGAGAAGAGATGCATGATGTTTAAGCAGCATAAACATAAACAGAGTTAATCATTACTATGGTTTTAACTCAAACCTGGACATTACATTCTACTGTAAAATGCATTATTGGATTATACAAGAGATTTTATTTGCTAAAACTGGCTATAACACCACAAATGTTTTTTAAACAGAAGGAATAATATGCATAATTGTGACATACCTGGATCAATGCATGCAGCTGGGGCTCCGTAACCATTAATTTGCTGCAGTCCCACACTATAGACCCCATAAGAAGCATTTGAATGGGTTAATTTGTGCCCACCTGCCCCAGGTTGGTAAACCAGCTCAGTCCAGGAGTACTCGCTGTTTTTAATGACCCTCCACTGAAGGTTTCCAGGTAAAGGCAAGCTATCAAAACGAATCCCTGCTTGTTCATTGGTAGGAACAATCAGAAGGGCTCGGTTGTCAAAGCCAGCTATCCCGTCAAGTGCGTACGAAGAACAAAAACGGTTGTCGGGCAGAAGATTCATAAGAAACGGGTCATATATGACACCACGGGATGTTCGCACACCATTAAACAGAAAAAACACCTGGATTCCATTGTCAGCAATGACGTTAAGGCCATTTGGAAACTGGATTTTGTACTCTACAATGCGCCCACGCTGAAGAACGCCAGTTAATGTAGTACGGCCAAATTGAACGGTTATATTTGTTGACTGTGATGCTTGGATATAGATGCTGTCGAACTGGCTCTGGATGCTAAACGGTGCCACCAGGAAGTGAGTTCCCCAGCTTTGCACCGGCAGGAGTTGCTCATAAACGTGATTGCACTTAGAAAAGCGCCACGTGCACATGTGGCCCGAGTACACGGCGATGGGAAGTTGTGAAGATATGCGGGTTCCCGTGAGGTCTCCTTGGCTTTGAATTTGTGCATTTTCGAAAGGATCCATCACCACAACTAGTTTACTGCCGACACCATACAAGCGTCCTTCAAACCGGACCACCGCTTTAAGGAACACTTCCACCGTGTGCCGCTCTTTACCGTTGACAAGCACAAACTCCTTCAGCATGGATGGAGGGGAGTTGGGGGGAGTGAACACAAAATATTCAGTACCCCATTCGCTCATGGGGTAGACCAGAGATGTATCTGCCGTGAATTGTTTTGAGTTTAGTGAGGAAACCGTTATGTCATCAGATGCCTGAATGAAAACAGTTTTGCGGGACCTCCTGGTGCCAGACAGCTCAATTGTTTTGGGGAGGGTCACAGTGAAGCCCTGACCTGCAGTCAGTTGCACCTCCTGGGTAAAACCGAGACTGGGCACGCTGACTTTCACCAGGCACTTAGAATTCAGAGAGGTGATATAAAGCTGAAATAGTGGCAGGTCAAAAGGGGATACATAGTTTTGCATGAACACAGTGGCAAACTCTTGTCCTGCAGATCGAGCCTGGGCGCCATCTTTAAGAGGTCAAGAGAGAAAGACTGAGAGAACTGATGCTACAAAAAAAAATCTACTGTAGAAAAGACATTGGCATTAAATGCCAGTGTATCAAATCTTTCTAATTTAACTTGTAAAATAATAATAATAATTTAAAATGATTAATTTTCATAAATTTTATCAAGAAACGAGTTTACATGACATCTATTTTTATATTAACAATGTAAAATTTCATAAAATAACAATCCAAAAGATAAAGAGCCTTACCCCAAAACAGAAATATCACAAAACAAACCGGTAAAAGTTTCGCTCCCATGATTATCTGGAAACAAATGTCAGTGAAAATGATGAAGCACCTGTACATTTCAACATGCATTCTTTTTTCTTCTTTTTAACATGCAGAAACATACAGAAACATGCAACATACAGAAATAGCATTATCCACTAAACTTGTATTAATCCACTAAATTGCGTGTGTGTGTGTGTGTGTGTATATATATATATATATATATATATATACATATATAATCACATGGGTTATTTCAAAATCTACAAATTACATTTCACATGCCACATGAAAATAACTATTTAATGCTGCTTACCTTCATGGGAATCAAGAATTATACAGTCTATCTTATGCAGCCTTTTAAATACCTATTATCCCAGTCTTAAAAACCAATCAGAGCACTGCCAAGTTTGGATCCTGGAACTGGGGACATGACCTATTTATTACATAAAAGGATCCATTTTCTCCCTCGAGGCATGAATGAATAGTATCAAATTGCAATATAATTTCTGAGAACATGCAGTCTTCTCAAAACATTTAAAACAATCCGTGTTTGATTTTTGAGCACACAACAAATTATGTAGACACAAATAATATGTATAAACTGCAACACTCATATAACAGTTATTGCAATTGTGCAAATTAACAAGAATTAAAAACCTGAGAATACTTTTCAAACCATGCAAACAAAAGACTATGACGCAACTTTTCTGAAACAGTATGAGCTTGTGATGGTAAATGATGAAAATGATGGTATGCACCACGTGGGTTTGGTTTTCATAAGCATAAAAAATAATAATCATAATAATACTTCAAATTCACCAGCCCAGTAAAACACCTTCTATAGCAATCTGTCTCCAGTCTATGATATTCCTGAATGACAAAAAGCATCTGTCTACACAATTTCCATGAATACTTTCTAACAACTGTTGATTGAATCGGGTTTTCTGTTTCTATCAAAACCTGCAAACAAGTCAGCATTACAAAATTATAATTGGGCTGATAAAACAAGCATAAAGTTTCCTTTTCTAAATTTTGTATATACCATTTATAGTGCAGGAAGTTGAATTTGCAATCAAATTTTTTCCCCCTAAAACAAGACTAAAAAGTTAGTCCATATGCAACAGGCTATTACACACTGTCATAATGTCTGGGAAAAAGACAATCCACACGGGCTTTGAGCAGCAGAAAGGCCTTACAAATGCTATTATCAGAGCATACAAGTGACTGTGTCAATATTGTAACCATGAAACTTCCTGCCCAGTTAGATGCCGTGTGAAAAGATATTCCCAGAGCTGTAACAGCAGAGATTTACGATAAAAGAGAGAGAATAGCAAAACACACCTCACAGTGAAGACAGACTAAAGGAGGGGAAATAGAGTTAACACATTAGTTAACTGTGGTTTCATTGACAATGTACTCCCATGAGTCCAGAGGAACAATGGAATGAACATTACTGTACATCTCACCCCCTTTTAGAGATCAAGCATGGCAAAGGATGTGGTGAATAAAGCATTATGCCAAGCTCAAGAGGACAGCAGCATCCAATTCAGAATGTACAGATTTACAGATAAAGTATCCTCTGAAGCATCCACTTGCTTGTGTTGCAGCATGCAACGTTAACTCACTCTGCTTCTTTTTCTGCAAAGGTCTTGCAGTCAAAGGTGAGGTAATGAGATTCCTAGCCATGCAACAAGCAGGTGGCCTTTTCCATGTGGCCGTCTGAGATACTACACCTTCCTTCAAAGAGACTTGATGAAAAAATAAATAATATTTATATTCTCCTGTAGCACAATGGAGAAAAAAATACTATGATAAACAAAAATTTTGGAGACGAGCTGTAGTAACCTATTATTCTCTGGAAGAAAATTAAATTAAAAAAAAAAAAATCAGATGGGCATCAATATTGTAAACTACTCACAAGCTTTATTACTTAAGTTACTACTACTAATATTCAAAAGTTTGGGTCGATAAGATTTTTTAAAAATGTTTTTGAAAGAAGTAATTTATGCTCACCAAGGCTATACAGTAAAACAGTAATATTGTGAAATATTATTGCAATGAAAAAAAATCTAATATTATATATTTTCAAATGTAATTTATTCCTGTGATGTAAAGCTGAATTTTCAGCATCATTATTCCAGCCTTTAGTGTCACATGAACCTTTAGAAATCATTCTAATATGCTGATTTGATGCAAGAAACATTTCTTATTATCAATGCTGAAAATAGCTGTGCTGCTTAATATTTTTATGATAATAATCATGATGCTTTTTTTAGGATTAGGATTCTATTCATTTCTATTCAATGAATATAAATTTTAAAAGATCAGCTATATTTTGTAACATTATAATTACATTTAATCTCACTTTTTATAAATTTAATGGATCCTTGCTGAAAAAAATTACTTTGAAAAAAAATTCTGACCCCAGTCTTTTGAACGGTATAGTCTATATTGATTTAAAAAAGCTGGTTCACCTCAATTGTACCTCTATATTTGAAGGATCTCTGATTCTCTGACAGGCAACACAGCAAAGCTTTGCATAAAAAAATAAAATAAAAAGGACCATTTTATTATTATTACCTAAAATGTACTTAACACAACGCACACAAAACTACATAATTTAATATTTAAAAGTATAGAATCCAGAAATATTTAATAGAAAATTCAAAGGTTTCTTTTTAGTTTTCTTTAATTGGTATTTAATTATATGTAATATCTCACAGTTAAAAAGAAGGCATTTGCAGAAGGCAGTGCAGAAACGTACTATTTCCGTGTGCTTACCACTTCCTGTAAAAGTCCTCTGTAGGTTTAACATTCACGTGCATCTTCACACGCAGCACTATTGGTTTACAGAGAAAGCTTCTTTCTCTGACCTTTCTAAACTCATGCACACAAATTGCATGCAATGGCTAATCAACAGTTCTGGGTTTACCACAGTTTAATGTCACCGAAGGATCGGTGGGTGAGTGAGGAAAGCACATTCTTACTAATTAATATATGTGTTTTGTTGATGCTATTGCTTTTCAGAGCTAATAACCAGAAGTTCTGAAATAAGTGGTTAAGATTGCAAGTTGCAGTCTTATTGGTCTGACTGTGTAAATGCAGTTGCATGTCCAGTGTGGATCTGAATAAAGAGAAAAAGAGGATCAAATATTGAACAATATACAAAGAATGTGCAATAAGGCAACTTAAAAGAAATCAAATACAGCAAGGTACAGTAAACATACAGTTAGGCTATTAAATGTCTTTAAAACCTGTAAATAAAAATCAACAAATATAAATTAAGTTAAAATGTTTTTATATATTATTAATAATCACACTAAGTACTTGTAAAGAGCCTAAATCCTCACAGCTCTTAATACATGGTGTAATACTGCCATCTAGTGATGATATAGGCCTATCCAACTCCATTTAGGCCTTATTGGCTGCTCTGTGCATAGCAAATAGTTGACAAGATGAAATTGTAATCGAAATACTTGTCGATCAATAACAGTGGTGCATTAAGAATGCACTGCACAAAGCTCAGATCTGAATACGAATAGCCCAAACTCACAGCTTAGCGGCATTTACTCTGCACTAGTGCCATCAATATCATCCTATAACACATCCCATGGTGGCTTCCTTTGACATGGTTTCATTTGGCAATATGCCATGCATAAATAGCTCAATGTGGTGCAATTAATGCATCAAACTTGCTGCGGGTTGCATGAATATGAATGTGGACAGAAAAAAAGCCTTTTCACTCAATGCAGAGGGGAATGAGCTGCTGGCCAAAATAAGACTGATGATATCTTGTTTATCTTTTTAACTGCATAGAACTAATACAAACATAGTATCTTCACCATCATTTGTCCAAAACCCATGGACCGCCCATCACTGTATGATAAATAGCCATGATAGACTGGTTGGTTGTGACCTGAAAATGATTTCAAAGGGCGTGATAGGGTCACAAACAGCAGGGGAATAATCAATGCTAAATGCAACTAACAAAACCTAACCATTTAATAATGCATGGTTAAAAAGGCTAATACACTTTTAAAAGGGAAAAGAAAGTGTTGATGTCTTGCACCAAAACATAGCCAAATTAGGTAGATGTCAAAATTCAAGACACATTGGGCAACCAAAAAAATTATAAACAATACTGTAGATTTTTCATGATAATATTAATGTAATAAAATAGGACATTTTGAAGAATTCTGGTGTCAAAACATAGGAAAGGAAAAAATATTTTGATATTTGTGACTTCAGGGTTTCTGCAGGTTTTATGAAGGTAAATTTAAGACTTTTTAGGACCTTTTTAAGACAGACAGACTTTTATCCAAAGCGACTTACAAATGAGAACAATGGAAGCAATCAAAATCAACAAAAAAGCAATGATATGCAAGTGCTATAACAAGTCTTAGTTAGCTTAACGCAGTACACATAGCAAGGTTTTTTAAAAAAAATCATATAATAAATAAAAAGAAAACAGATCGAATAGAAAAAGAATAGAGATTTAAGACTTTTTAGGACCTTTTTAAGACAGACAGACTTTTATCCAAAGCGACTTACAAATGAGAACAATGGAAGCAATCAAAATCAACAAAAAAGCAATGATATGCAAGTGCTATAACAAGTCTTAGTTAGCTTAACGCAGTACACATAGCAAGGTTTTTAAAAAAAAATCATATAATAAATAAAAAGAAAACAGATCGAATAGAAAAATAATAGAGCAAGCTAGTGTTATATGGACGCATATAGGTAGCGAAATTCAATTTAAAATGCAATATGCAAAATGGCAATGCAATATTCAAAATAGCAATGTATTTCTGTATTTAAATTTACATTTTCCATTACCCATACGTGCAAAGTTTGTTGCAAAAGGAAAATGAAAATGAAATTATATAATTTACATTTGCCATTTCCAACAGTAGTCTTAATATGTAAATTGCATACAAATTTTAAAGCTTTTTAAGTTGCAAAATTAAAATGAAAATGTATAACACAAACTGATTTGATATGTGTAACATGTCCAAGCAGAAATGGTT